GGTGATTATCAATGCTGGTTTTCTGGTGGAACATGGATCGCTCAATGTCTAGGAAACAATCATTGGGAAAAAATTAGACGATGTCGATCTGGTTGTAAACGTACCCACAGTGATCGACCTCTTTGTTACTAAATATGAACAATCAGCAAATATGCATTTGAGTTTGTGTTTTGAGATTTATTCTATGTTTAAATTGTCATAATAAGCCGATATTTATGATTTTTCCCTTTAATTTTCGTTAATTATTCATTAAATATAATCAAGATATTCACGTGGTATTTTATACTTACGGGTTTTATTTTTTGCAGTGTGCGATTGACGACTACGAACGACGCAAAAAGAAGAGTAGATGGAATAAGAGAGAAAACCGATCCAGCGAATCATATCTTCCATAGGACCTTAGCAATTTGGAGTGGGATAAAAAAATAAGGTTAAACTGAAACAAGCGTTGAGAAAATCTAATGTCGAAAACAACAGAGCATTCATAAAAATGCTCGAAAGTACTGGTGTATACACTATTCGGTGACGAATATTTAAGATACTTGTAAGCATTTTTTGATGCATGAAACATTGGCAACAGATTTGGTTTTCGCACCATGTCTATATGAACCAGAATGCTGTCTAAAAAATGCGACTGAGCTATGATCCGAATGAATTAGACCCTAGAAATAGTGAGGATGTAGATATGAATATGAATTTATATGCACTCACACGCATCTATTAGATTTGATAATTTTATATTGATATATAATTTTAATTCGTTTCAATTGTTTTTTTGATTAATTTCTGTAAGTATGATATAGTAACAAATTGTTGTATAGAATAATAAATTTTAAAAACCGAAATAAATCATTATAAACATTTTTCATACAAGAAACATTTGATTTATTGAAATGTCTATGATAATATCATTATTCGTTCACATACTCGAAATCAATCTAATAATGGTGGCATAAACGACAGAAAATCAGGCATAGAATGAATAAGTAAGAGAAAATATAAACGACGAAATCTAGAGAATAAGAACTGACGAGGACATTTTCATTTGCTTCAAGAGTATAAGTAATCATGAGAAGGAGGCGTCAAGCGAAGTGGTTCTGCCTTATGCTCTTTCTCTGATTTGTTGGTTGATTTTTTCACTAGCACAAATCCTAAGTATATTGTTGAATTATTGTGAATCTAAACAACTTTTTCTTTTAATCGATGTAAGTACTATTGCAGGATCTGCATCGACTGGTAAGATTACCAGCATGTGATGCCATTTAATGTTTCCAGTTACTATTAAAGTGGAAAGTTTGTTGTGCTTCAAGCTATGAATAATATAAACAAATGTTAGTTATCTTTCATTCAATTATAAATCATACGAATAATTAGAAAATCTTCAATAAGAAAAAGAATATTTGATTATCATTTCACATTATACGAATGTAATTCTTTTTGTTTTGATGTTCATCAGTAATTATCGTACGGATATCAACAAGTAGCAAGTTTAATGAATATTGCTCCAACGAAGTTCAGTCTTTGAATTATTATTCATGAGCGTCATGTGTGATGAAATCTAAATATTTATTGTATATTATCTGATTGAGTATCAAACGTTTATTTATTAATGATTTCTTTGTCAATATAGTATAATCAGTTTAGTTGTATCTGTTGATTATTCTTTATTCGTATATAATATTTTTGCATATAAAAGACCAATAATAATGAAATTATGAAAGATATTATGTATCTTATTCATATATTCTTATTCAAATCGAATAATCATTATCGCTTAAGATGTAATAATAAATTTCAATATGCATGTTGATAAAAGACTAGTTGCACAGTTATTTGACGAATGATTAGACATCTACCAATGAAATGATCGAACGTGTGCTTATCATTTTTTCATTAGTATAACATTAATAGCAGACATTTAATATGTGATTACTATAGTAACTAGGTTTATTTATTTATTTATATTTTTGATACTAAAGATATTACAAGTAAAGCAAAAAGAGAAATTTTTTTTCCGGCTCTGTACGTGATGACAGTCACATAACCATGACAAACAAAAAATAGATTCAAATCCAAATGTACTCTTCAGTCCGCAAAATACCAATTTTTTTTAATTATGACTATTAGCTTACATCATGAATTCAATAAAAAAAAAAGCTCTGATCATTTCGTAACTACTTTTATATTATTTGTTTATTTATGTTTAGAAAATTGGTAATAAATTTATATTCTTTTACTAATTCATATCGTATGTCAACTCATATTAAAAAAAATATTGATATTCAATTTTTAGCTACGTATGGTACTTTGAGAGATGATGATAATTCAGATGCACCATGGACGAAAAATTTCATTAAAGTATCTTGCCTGTTTTTTTTAAAATATTTTCTTTTAAAAATGAATAATTTTATTGTATTACTAAAGGATATAAATCCTGCCACTACGGGTAGAGTTGTTGGTTATCGACTTCTCGGTCATCCTATAATCACATATCCATTTGCAATTCATACAGGTGTTGTCAAATAAAATATAAAAAATTAACTTTTTATTTATTTGGTGATGATAATAATAATAGGTGATCCAAGTGATTCAATTATTGTTCGTCTTCTAAGTTGGCCATCGAAAGAACAATTCAAAGAGAAAATTAATCAAGCAGATATAATTGAAGGTGATGCATATGAACGTAAAGAAGTTGAAGTACTTGTTAAAAATGAAATTAAACTTGCTTATATTTATATATCGAAATCAACATCATTAGATGAAAATTGGAAAGTTATTCCAAGTGGTGATTGGCTTAAACGACATTTAAAATAAACGAAATTGATTTTTTTTTGTTTTAAAGATTCAATTCTTTTTACGTTGTTGTTTAAAACAATTGTTTATAAAACTTTATTTTTTTACCAAGTTTTGCTCATTTTTCAGTTTTATACGATCAATGATATGGCCTTGTTTTTGACTATTCTTTTACCTTTTGTAACCACGTTGTAGCTGGTAATAAAATATGTTCATATTAGAGATTTTGCCGGTTTGATCTGTTTTGATTAGATCCGTAACTGATATACGAGTTATGGGTTCATGAATCGAATTTCTCTCCAGGTTAAATAAACACGATCGGATATTACTGTTTATGGTACGATAAAATACAATCGTCCTGATACCGTGCTTACCAAAGATCAGTTTACATTTGCAGACTATATGTAACGATAGGATACAGTATTGTGTTTAGTCGTCTGGGTGACTGTAATCATCATCCTGAATTATTTTATGTGTGTACGTTGACTATGCATTCTATTTGTTCAATTTATTACTGCTTTCATTGCCATTATTACTTTTGTGGTTCTTTACAATCTGTAGTCTTGTGCATTAAAACATGTACATGTATGTATGTGTTTTTTTTTCTTGCTCGTTTTTTTCCCAGTCGATTGTGTGATATAAAATTTCATATTTATCGGTCTTCATTCCCCTTTTTAGGTAATCCAATAGCCATTTTTTAAAACAATTTATGTCATCACAAGTGACGTTTCTATACTTGAGATGAGTCGAGTTACAAGGAAAATCTGCTATTAATAGATCTGCTTTCATATGTGGTCTGTCTTAATATTCTATTAACATAACTTGATTGGTTGCAAGATATATATTTTCATTATTTAATTTTCTAGGTGATTCGTCGCTTTTGGTCTGATACTCTGATTATAAGTAAGAGAGCTGTGGATTAGCTAAAGCCTAAGAGGATATGAATCAATGGTGCAATTTGACTGAAGTATAGAGATTATACTGAAAATTTGCCTCTAGCAAGATTTCAACTAGGCCAGTTCGTCTAAAATTTTTCACAATTTTTATATATAAACTAGACTATTTGAAGTCTTAATAAATATTAGCAAAGTTTTTAAGTGAAAAATTAGAAAGGATTGTAATTTTAAGCTTTTCTACGTACAAGCAAACTATAACGTGAATAACATTATCTTCAACAGTGTTCTCCTTGTTCAGTAATGAATCTAACTCTAACAGTTCTATATAAATTCTATTTTTTTGTATTATTCCATATGCATTTTGAACTTAATGATTTAACAAAAAAAAAAGAAAACGAAATTTTTTTTTTGTAATGAACATGTAAAAAATAGTCGTTCAATAATTGTCATTTACTTCCAATTATTTCCATTGACTATATATAATAAAAAAAACACCCGATGAATGTCATGTTACGGATGAGTTATTCGATCGCCTTCATTTCTTTTTTTACGTTTGTTCACATTTTGTTTCACAATTTCAATAGACAAACAAGACTCGTCATTAACATCATATTGATTTCAATGTTACCTTTATATAATATTCATCCAAAGTCTGTGTCAGTTCCGACTGCTCAGATTTTATATTCATCGAATATGGCCAATGGATATACAACAAGAGCAATGTCTAATAAATATTATTCACATATGTATAGTCAATGTCGGAATATTAAACGAGATCAATCTCATTATTGTCATGTACCTTTTGATTGGTATCAACCACCGAAACAAGGATATAGTATTATTCATGAAGACGTAGCAGTAGTTACATCCAATGGACCTGTACCTTTGCACGAGTTTAATCGTTACTATATTCATTGTAAAAATATAAAAGTTTGTAATGATAATGATGATTCAACTTCGTTCGAGTCAGAAGAATATGATGATATGCAAGAATCTTCATATGAACAAAGAAGTATTGAAAGTCAAAGTTACACACGAACAGAATCCGAATCTGATGATGATGAAGAAAATACAAGCTCATCATTGAATCAATAATCGATGAGAACAAATTATTATACAACACTTAATCCTAATCAGGCTTGCCAAATCTCCTGATTTTCTTAATTTTCTCCTAATGAAAAATCTCCTGATTTCAGGAACTGATTTATACGATTTTATCCTGATTTTATTTTTTTTAATTACTTGATGATTAACAACACGTTGAATTAATGTAGGCTTTGAAGAGAAAAGAAGTTTTTCATTTTTTTATGGTTATAATAATAATGTCCAATAAGATAATGCATTTCTTTTCGTTTTCTTTTCTAACATGAAATCTTAATTAAACAAAATTATTTGTGAAACACTTGTTTTCATTGTATTATTCATAGGTAGATGATATTACTATTAATTATGGGATTTCTTAATTTGGATTTATCTTTATATATTTTGTATATCCAAATAGGTAGTGACGACATGAATATAGTAGAATATAGAAATAAACATTATGAAATGAATAACCTTGCTTTATTTATTTTATTTACAAGAGATTTTTTTTCTTCAATGACACAGTAAATTCAGTCGACTTCCAAACAAGACTGTGTGGACTAGCGAAAACTTGTATTTAATCAGATAAAACCCATCAAGAGACTCCTGATTTTGAAAAAAATTCTTCTGACGAACTCCTGATTTTCAAAGGAAAAACTACTGATTTTTGAAATTATGATTTGGCATTCCTGATCACAAGTAAATTGTATTAATATTGAATCAAGAAGTACAGCTGGTTTTAAATGTGGAGAATTTATTAAATTATAAGTACATTCAGGATGTTCTTTAAGTAATTGACAATCATTTGCAACATGATTATAAACAAGATCAGTTATTGAAAATATTTTCCATTGTTTAGCCATTTGATCAATTATAATTTTTAATTCTTCAAATGTTCCTTGAAAATTTTCATTTAATTTATGATGATTATTTATTGATATATGATGAATTTGATATATTAGAAAGAGATTGAATTGGTGTAAAATGTATCATATTATAACCAGAATGATATCTAACTTCAATACGCGATAACCATTCTGATAAAGGACCTAATGATTTGGATAAAACTGATTGACATGTTATATATTCTTGTTCTAATACTTGACCATTTCCATCTGGCCAAACTAAATATGATTCAACATGAAAATAACCTTGACCATTTCGATTTTCTATCGATCTAAATAAAAAAAATAAATATTTATTTAATTTAAATATAAAAAATTTCAAAATAAACGTTGTTCCATCAATAGTAAAAAATTAATGAAATGATCCTGATTTTGAACATAATAAAGAAACATAACGATCGGAATCATCATATTTTCCAGATGATGGATATATCCATTTTAATTCACGATAAATATTTCATTCAAATTTATCATCTTCATTAATAGAAGCATTTGTAAATATTCGAACTTTTCTCCATGATAAATTAGAAAATAATTTTATTTGAAGTGTTCAACCTTTTAATTAGAATTATTTTAATTATATTCTTGTCTTTCTATTTCAAAACTAAATAAAAACTTTTTTTTAATCGATATAGTTTTTCACTTTTATCTTCGGCTTCATTTAAAATAAGAAAACGTATTTGTTCATCAGTTGAATGATTCGTTGAACTCATTTTAATCTCTAAAATAATATCATATTATTTATCTTATTTTTTTTAATTGTTATGTCTGATTTTTGCTTGTTATTTTCAAGAAAATATAACAAAACTCGTCATCACAATCTACTCGAATAAAACTAATGAGATGTTATTCTGTTTTTTGTTTACAGAAAAAACAAAACAATTCTTCTCCATTCTAACAAATATATTTGTAATGAATTATTCATTTTAAATAAACATTTTCATTTGTATACGTTCATTTTCGTCTTTTATTGTCAACAAAACATGTCCTTTATTAAAGTTTATACGAACGATTCCAGTAAAGGTCCTATTGCAGTTACAATACGATATGAATTTTACTTTTATCATTTCGTACTCTATGTTTTATGATCTGATCTAAAAGATATTGATGAACTTGCTGTAGGATTATTCGTATTGAACAAAAAAACCTTAAAACATGCGTAAGGATTTTCTATTGATTTTTTTCAACCTTGATAAACTTATTTGTTTATGTGTGATCTAGATTGTCAAAATATCCTGATCGAATCTATCTACGTCTGGTGGATAATGTACCGATTGAAGAAGCAGTCTATATCTTAAGTATTTCTGATGGTAAGTTTTGTGATACTCTCTAAGGAATTGCATATATAAGTTTTTTTTTCTATTATACCTAGATAAATCTAAGAGAAAAGGATTCGTCGAGCAGATCCGATAGAATCAATCTTGTGATGATGGTTATAACAATATTATCTTTAATATGGGCAATCTTGGCAACATTTTATCCTCATATGATCAAGAAAAAGAACATTTAAATAACATAAGAAAAAGAAAAACATAAAAAACTGAAAGTTTTTTTTTTTTTTAAATAAATTAACATCTAAAATAGATCTATACTACCGATGTATGCTATTCATTATAAAGAATTAGGTGATTTTATTCGTTCATATTATTGGACTTCTGTTTTACCTACTGCATAACTTCCATTAAATGGTTCAAATATACATATTCTAGTATTTGATTCATCATCAGTTACTGTTGATCATTCAATTATTCAAGAAGATCAAACTCAAGATCAAGTTATTCGTACATATACTATTTATGTACATGATGTTCATTTTTCAATATGGAATTGACAAAACATTGTCAAGCAGTATGATCCAAGCAAGTGAGAGAAATTAAAATTTCTTCATTATCATGAACAAATTAATTGATTTGCCATTATTCTTTCCAGGGATGCCAAATCATAATTTCAAAAATCAGTAGTTTTGCCTTTGAAAATCAGGAGTTCGTCAGGAGAATTTTTTTCAAAATCAGGAGTCTCTTGATGGGTTTTATCTGATTAAATACAAGTTTTCGCTAGTCCACACAGTCTTGTTTGGAAGTCGACTGAATTTACTGTGTCATTGAAGAAAAAAAATCTCTTGTAAATAAAATAAATAAAGCAAGGTTATTCATTTCATAATGTTTATTTCTATATTCTACTATATTCATGTCGTCACTACCTATTTGGATATACAAAATATATAAAGATAAATCCAAATTAAGAAATCCCATAATTAATAGTAATATCATCTACCTATGAATAATACAATGAAAACAAGTGTTTCACAAATAATTTTGTTTAATTAAGATTTCATGTTAGAAAAGAAAACGAAAAGAAATGCATTATCTTATTGGACATTATTATTATAACCATAAAAAAATGAAAAACTTCTTTTCTCTTCAAAGCCTACATTAATTCAACGTGTTGCTAATCATCAAGTAATTAAAAAAAATAAAATCAGGATAAAATCGTATAAATCAGTTCCTGAAATCAGGAGATTTTTCATTAGGAGAAAATTAAGAAAATCAGGAGACCCCTGCCAAAATCAGGAGATTTGGCAAGCCTGGTTTTAAATCAAGATGAGTATGCTTTTGTATTGATTGCTATACTTCACAATATTAATTTTTCACGACCTGTACAAGCAGCTATCATCAAATGAATTGATCGACGGATTCTCAATGAGACGTCCAATATTTCTTGTTGACTTTGAAAAAAATGACTATCGATCAATTATTAGTTTATATCCGAAAACTGAGCAAACTCAAACATTAATCAAAGTAGTATATGTTTGTCACATGCAACTTATAATCGTTACTGCCATTGTTCGACTCTCCTCTACTCTTGTTTCAACGTTGAAGTGTCTGCTTCGACTCAATTGAATAGATCAACTTTAACATTTTAATCAGCCGTTCATTGTAGAGCAGATGAATTCATACAAAAAGTTGGTGCGCTCTTTTGTCTTCCGTCTTCATATACCCCAGAGGTGGGATCGGTTGGCATTTTTGCCAAACCGAACCGACCGTAACCGAAAAAATCTCTAACCGAACCGAACGTAACCGACCGAATTTTTAAAAATTTCTAACCGAACCGACCGTAACCAAAAAAATCTCTAACCGAACCGAATGTAACCGACCGAATATTTAAAAATTTCTAACCGAACCGACCGAATTTCAAAAATTTCGTAATCGAACCGTGTTTAGAGAAAGCGAAGTTTAGCTTACGTTAATTAGGGTATTAGCGCTTTATAAATTAGCAACAACAAATCGAACAGTAGCAACTATGAGCAATCAACATCTAGAGAAAGTAACGAAGAAAGATTATTTATTGAATCCTCTTACTGTATTATAATTTTCTTACCTCTCACAACAAATTTAAAAAACATGTGAGATAATATGAGTTACGAACAACAGCTAATTGTTGTACGATTACACTCTTTTTTCTTTTTATGTCTCAAAAAGTCCATCGAACTCAAATCAAAAGATTATGTCGATTCTTTCTAACCGAACCGAACGTAACCGACCGAATTTTTTAAAATTTCTAACCGAACCGATCGTAACCGAAAAAATCCCTAACCGAACCGAACATAACCGACCGAATTTTTTAAAAATCTCGAATCGAAGCGATTTCGGTTACGGTTGGTCGGTTCGGTTCGGTTAAAAACCGAACCGGTCCCATCTCTGAATATACCCACACGCACATACACAGACGTCATCCATATCCGAAATAGTTACAAAAATTTTAATTTTAAATGTTTATATCATTGACGAATCCATTGTTGTAATCTTATTTTTTATTGGTACTGAAATAGCTGAAAAACAAATTCATTTATTTATTCAACAAGATTTCAATTATCTACCAACGTATATGACTGAAACTCATCTTTCACTTTCACGTTATCCATCATTAAATGATTATCTAAAGAATTATTTTTATCTATTCGTGATATATATATGCCAGTATTGAAGCGGGTTTTCTTTAACCGTTAGTTAGTCAAATGCGAATCATTCCGAGTTTACTAACACGTCCATATTTTTATGATATTGATGTTGATAAAATAATTCGAGAAATTCATAGACTTATCTTATAATTATTCAAATGTGATTGTTTTTTTCTTTGTTTTACGTTATGATAGAAATTTATTAGATTTCAAGTTCAATAAATAAAAAAGTGATGGTTAAAATTTTGTTTCTTGATAATTCTTTTTCATTAGAAAACAAATAGATCAATGATTTAGTTTAAAAATATAGTCGAGGAATTGATCTAAAAAAAATGAAACATTTATTTTATCTTTGAAAAATATCGAGTTTGCGATATTTGTTCTTACGAAATTTAAAGAAACCGTAGGTTCTCGTTATTCAATAAACTAAATTTTGTTTTCTCAAGATTTTTCTGTGGAGAAGAAAGTAAAAATGAAACTTTTTTCTAAATGATAATCGCCAATGAAATAGATTTTATATAAACATTAGAAAAAAAAGTAGTTTACAAGGATCAACGGCTACAAAAAATGCAACTGATGCAATAAAAACACAAGCTAATGAATAATTTAAAAGTAAAAATATCTCGCCTTGATTTTAACATTCGTAGAAGATAATGTGTACAATCTTATAGTTATTATGAGAGAGTAATTGAAATTGATCCAGATGCTATTTTATATTCATATATCAAAGTTTTTCATATCTTTGTCGTGAATGGTTTCGTTACATGCCCTTATAGATTCTAAGCGAGCATTAAGAATATGATTCAAAATATATTGAAGTATTCCTCTCGTTTATATGTACTCAATATATATTATTATTCGTTAAGACATTGCATTGAAGAACATCTGCTTATTCAACACCGGAAAACTATTATCCAACATTATCTGATTATGGATATGTTTGTTGAATCAGCTTTTTGCTTTTCGAAATGTGACTTTTTTGTTCGAGGTTAAATAGATCTAGACATTTAATAAATGCTCAGATAAAAATTTTTGTATATTACATGAAGATCAAACAGTAAGATATTGACTAAAGATCTTCAATATCGGTATCCAGAATAAAATTATTTGTATCAAATATTAGGGAAAAAGATCACGAAAGGCAACATATTAGACAAAAAAATATTGTTGACAGATCATAGGGTTCTCTTGTATATAATTTTTCGAGATCTGTTCAGATTTTTGTACCTCGCATCTGTCCCAAGATCTTGCTTACAAGATATTCCACTTCTGTAGTACAACCATATACAACTGTGTACGAGAATCGTAATCTTCATCCAGAGCTATAGCTATTCATCCCTCGATTTCTTTGTTCATTCTTAGCGTAGTTTAATCGCTCTTTTATTCTATCTTGGTACATTACGAAATGAAATGACATCAGTATGATGATATTCAGACGTTTCTAGGCACATTTTTTCGTTTGTAGACAATTGAATGAATGAAATGTACTCCTTAATGATATCTGATTTGATATAGAACGACGAAAAGAGTGAGATATAATGGCTATATAAACCGACATATACTAGAAAAATTTCCATTTCTTTTAACATCATTAGTACGTTTTTTTTTCTCTTCACGATGGCACAGCAAACAACAATTCAAAAGATGATAAAAGAATTTGGTGGTTTTAAACGTATCAATGATGATACTCGTAATTTTGTAAGTAAATTTTATTGAAGTACTTTAGAATTTATAACAAGAAATTATTTTTTTGTAAATATTTTAGAGCCAAAATATAAATTTCATTCATGCAGCAATTCAACAACTAGCACTACCAGTGTAAAATCAACCGTTACCACCACTAGTACAAAATCAACCATTACCACCACCAGTACAAAATAAACCACTACCACCACCAGTACAAAATCAGCAACAAATTCAACAAGGTGAGAAAATTAGTACCATTACATAAAAATAAAGGAAAGAATTTTCATTACTTACAAAAGAATATTGTATTTTCATATATTTCAACAGGTGGTAATATATTTACAAACATAAGATTCTCATGGATTCTGTTATGCATTATACTAACGGCTTATTTTTTTAAAGTGGAATATCAATTATTATTGATTATAGTGATATTTTACATGTCAATGTCTTCTACTTGATAAAATATAGTGCAACAACATAATTTTCACATGTCGCCAATTGTTCTCCCGTATTAAAAAAGATGATTTACAATTATGGTTATCAATCGCGACGTTCGTTATGATGGTCATTCTCATTTTTTTGATTGTCATTCTGATTTTAACCCTTTCAATCCCGCATGGCATCTACGAGATGACATGTAGAACGAAAAAGAAATATTTTGCGTTCTTTCGTCTTCTTAGATGACGAATATCATATGATATGTTCAAATGAAAATCACTTCGTATGGATACGAATAATGAATATAGAATTCGAAAAAATATGATTGTGATAGCTGAACACAAGAAAATGACGGGATTGAAAGGGTGAAAATGAAAAGTATGCATGTTCTGTTCATTATGTCGTCGTAGTATCTTACAAAAAAAACTGATCGTTTTGTTTTTATTCAAATACGATTCTTTTTCATGGTGAATATCACATGATGTTAAATTTTTATTTTCTTCATGATATCTAATGTTGTAAAAATAAGTGTTTTTTTTCATTATGAATATGTGATAATGTTATACTAAAATTTTTTCCTGATGAATATTTGATGATGTAAAAATAATTTTTTTTCTAATATATGAAGCATAAATCTACATTTATCTTACTTTTGATCATAAATATAAAAATGAAGATCAAATTTCATTCTGTTGTTCATGCTGAGCATATGGATATTCAATAAATAAAAAAATTTTTCATTATATCATTAATATACTTTTCAGACTTCATAAAGCAATTATCAATAGTTTAACATATTCTACTGTTTGCCTATCGTGCTTCAAAATCATTGAAAAAATTTAAAAAAACTTATCATAGGACTTGATAAACAGCCATAGTAATGATGATGGATCTGTAAGGTCCGAAAGCTACATTGATTATATAATAAAATATTTATTAATAGAATGCTCATATGCATGACATAAACAACAAAATGAAATATAATTTTTATCTTTTAAGTAGCAGACAAAATTTTAAGGAATGATTTATATTTCATCGATTTTCCGTTGTCTAAGAGCGGAAAAGTTTCAAAAACTATACTATTAGATGCTGAATTCAATGGGCTCTATTTTATTATAAATAGTCTTGAAAACTATTGGTTATAAGAATTAAATATTGATCATTATTAATTATTATTAGATAACCATGCGAGAAAATTTTTGTAATGATTTTCTATTTTTGAAGTATAGAAAAAGATAGAGCATTGAAAACCAAACAAAACGCTGTGTTTTTATTTGCTAGCAATCGTTCGTAATGGGATTTTTTAAGCACTCTTTAATAATTGAATCATTTTACCTTCCATACTTTTTTTAAACATGGCTTAACAAATATCACACACTAAGATAAAGTGTGTCGCATGTGTCGTACTTTGCGACACAATGTACGACACATTCAAGTGCGACACGAGGAGCTCGCTGCGACACATTTCTTCCAGCAAGCGCACGACACATAAAAGTGCGACACATGCGACACATTTTGACCACGTGGGTTCGAATCTATTCTTCATCGCGTTTTTCTTTTTTTTTTGTTTTACAGAAGCGAATAATTCTGTTTTTCAGCTTAAAACAAATTAGTAATACTTATTCGTACAATTCAAGACGGGTAGGTTTTAAGATCTCTCCGTCTCGAGTCGATTTGATCTCGATCAGACCGCTTCCAGGCAGTCCATTCTGGATCATCTATCGATCTCTGAACATGTGCTCGAATAATGGCTATTCGAGAAATAATCTAGAAGAACAGGCATACAAAAAATGTGTAAGTTTAGTCTGTTCAACCGTGTCGGTTATATATAGCTGTGCACGCGAAACAAAACGGTGAATGAATGATTAGCGGACAGACCACGACACATCTATAATACGACACATTCTGACTGGGACACATTTTTGTAGTGGTGTGTGCGACACTATCGTGAACGACACATTAGTGCGGCACATTTTATTTTAGTGTGCATAACGGAAAGAATAATTATAAGATCAACACTAATTGTTATTATAAAATTTTTCCATGATGGAATACGATCAAAATATAAAACTAAATCGATTAGAAAATTAAAATTATTAAAATTAATTTCGTCAAACAACAAACTTCGTGATGCTGAATGAATTATTGGAAAGATATTAATCATTATTGTTGCACCATAAAAACCGGTAACCAACGACGACCAGCATTCATTTGATCACTCCGAACAAAAAAAAACATTTTTTTTCATCAACAAATGAACAAAAAAACAAAATCTACTCGTTCAAGAATACATTTTCGAATAATTATAAATAAAACTATTGATATAAAACCAGCTAATACAGGTGAAACAAACCATGAACCATCTATTATATTTTATAAATAAATCTAATCCTCATTTCATTGTTTTCTACATACCAATTCTAGGAAATGCACTCCATTTTATATTTCATGATCCTTGAGAAATAAGAGCATAACCAATTGTTCCACCTTCAATACTATGTATACCTAATACTAGTAAATTAAAAAATGTTGCAACTAACAACTAAATTCAACAACCTATATACACAATTTGTTTTTATACATACAGCAAAAACTAATTTTAAATTCAATTTATCAATTAATGATGAAAGTTGACCGAGCATTAATTATTTAGGATTTTCAAATGAAGTTGGAATAATATCTTTCCTTATTGTATTGGACACTGCCACTTCTAGATAATCAATTGAAATAAATCAAAAAATTATATTAAAATCTTTTTGTAAAATACCAATTAAGATCGATCCAAGTATTTCAACTATTGTTGCTAGAATACATGATTGTTTTAATGTTAATACTTTACTTTCAACATTTGTACCAAATGAATTAGCTATATCATTTGCTCCGATATCAAATGCTAATATAAATACAGCAAAAATAAACCAAAACTCAATATCCATAATAGTTCAATTGAATATGGTTCTAGAGCTATCATTATATTTTGCTGATTAGTTTATCAAAACTTCGAAGAATAAAAGTTAGTTAAATATATTAATGTTTTGTTTTTATTCTTACCTTATTGAAGTAAAATTATTGTTATGTTCTTAACCAATATCAATTTCTCAACATCTAGTTATAAAGGATTAAAAAATCGACATCTCTTTCATCGTAGTGCTTCTGCAGTTTAGTCGCACCCTCACATTGATTAGTACACTAGACACAGCAATCAGTATGTGGGTGAGGATCCTAATCGTCAAATAACAATTCAATCATCGTCGAACCATCAAGGAAATCAATCATACTCTGATGATAATTTTAGTGATACAAATTCAGTAAATAGTACATATGATAACTAAAAGAATATCACAAATTTTTTTTTTCTTAGTTTTATCGTTTTATTTATCCTTTTTTCCTATACAATAAAAGAAATAATCAAATTCAAATATATATATATATATATATATAATATTTATTTATTTTCATAATCGTATTCGTTCAGTATTAAATGTAGGTAATGATAGTCGTAAAACATGCTGTTTATTACAATTCATATCAATACTAGTTTTATATTTATTCGATGGTCCATAGATTGTTTCTAGTGTTCTTGACGTTTTATTTAATGATGGTCGAGGTATATTTGTGCATACAACCAGACGTGCTACTGTAGAGGATTTACATGTTTTATGAAAATGATCATTATTATTTTGACTGCATTGACGATGATGATGATGATGATGGTGATGGTGGCGATGATGGTGTCGTTGACAATAAACAATTCGTTTCATTGTACGTATCCATGCTTCACGATATTTATGAGAAAATAAATGATAAAAAATTGGATTTATTGTTGAACCAAGATAATAGAAAATACCACTAATGAAATAAAATATTGTTATTGCACGTTGTTGACTTAATGAAAAGAGATGAACATTGGAACTACTTGTAATTAGACGTTGTACATGAAATGGAGCATAACATATTATAAAAGCAATGACAACAGCAACTAAATATAAAGAATAACTCATTATAATATTCGATTTTGAACATGTATTTCCGCATTATTATTTTTTTGAAGATTATACAATGAGTATGTCATATTAACGTACGTTTTGTATTCAAAATAAGACGGATGAGACAAAAACTCTGCATTAATTTTGTTGTGTGATGTCGCATTGTAATGTCATATCGTAGAGACTTGATCCTTATATTTTGTTAGGAAAATGAAAATGTCTAATGGCAAAAATATATCAACGAAGTTGATTTCAATGTCAGAAAAAAAATCTTAGAATAAAACATATCAGGAAATTCTTGAATGACTTTTTATTTTATTTTATCAAAAAATGTCATTTAATATGATAAGTTTTCTTCTTCTACTAATGTAAACGATCAAAAAACTTCAATTCTACTTCGAATGAAAACTTGTTACAAAAAAAAAATATATTTTTTTATGTGAAAAGGAATTTTTTCCAGTATTCTACTTAAACAATAATATTTAATATCGGACACAGCTTCTCAATGAAATATTCATATAAAACTTTGTTTTCTTTTTATAAACATCAAAGTATTTCTTTTTGAATTGAACTGCTTATTGTTGAGACTTTTATACTCTAAATCATTTTTTTAAATATCATAAGAAGACCATTATTGTCATGAACAGCGGCATATACATATGATACTAGAAAATGTCAAAAGTTAATGATGAAAAAAAAGGCTAAATAAACATAATATATTTCAATATAATAGTTGTTACAACAGTACCGGAAAAGCTTTCAATACTTTTTGTTCTACGGTTTATTATGACCCTTGGGAAACATTTCCGATTAAATTCTTTTGTATATTTTTAAAATAGACATTTTGCTTATTCTAACCAAGAAAAAGAAGAATCAAGTCTCTACAATGTTGTATTTCATCACAACATTACAAACAGAATTAATGCAAAATTTTGGCCATATCCATCAATTTTTTTTCGTATAATAATAGAAAGTAGAAAAATGATTCATCATTCTTATCTTATTACTTGATCAAAGAAAGAGAATCAAAACAAATCAACAGTAAGAGAAAAAAATATTCGTCTAGATTATTTGCAAGCTCTATTGAATAAGAATTGTTATGAGCTGTGTTTTGACTCATTTTGAACTAGCCGGAAAACAGTGCAGATAATTAATAAAGATAAATAAACAATTTTTTGAATCACTGAAAATCATGCCATCAAATTACATCCTGAAAAAAATTTTGAAGCCTCACATAGTGATATATTGTATATCCTGAGTTCTATTCATAAGAAATTTAATATAAACATGTTTTTTTTCTCAATAACGTTGATTACTACTCTTAATTGAAATATATACATCAGATAAAAAATATCATCGGTTATTTGATGTCAAGATGTTTTCTTTTTCTAGAATAATCATAACTATTTTTAGAATAATTATAATCCTCCGACAAATCTCTTTTGAATATAAAGATTTAAAAAAATCAATTAATAAAATAAGAATTCAAACAACAGAAAGAATATTTACATCCAATGAACATTACATCTAAAAAAGGATAGATGATGATTCGGTCAGAGTGTACGTCTCAAATTAGTAAAAAAAAATAAAGATAATTATTCGACGTCGAATTATCTTAACCAGACGTTGATTCATAATAACAAAACATACGTCATAAATCAAATACTAATATAGGAACAGAGGTTATCATGAAGGTCATTAGATGAGTGTACAAAGTAACATAGTTTTTATATTTTGTATTGGAAAAATAATTTGACACAATAATCTTTGTAATGAAATTATTTAACTAAACTTTTTATAATCATTTATGGATAGATATAATATGAGAAAAAAAAAACAAGTTTGAAAGCGACAAAAATATCACAAGCTTTATGTAGGTTAATCCTATCAGTCACCACAGGTCACGTTGTTTTAACAATCATTAGTGTATTGCAGAAAATACAAAACAACAATAGTAATTGTAAATCTGCAAGAACTTCTATATCTATTTACGACTTGTCATATATGATCTTATAAACGAATAATAATGGCACAAAGTAATAAAAAATGTAATGGTTCTGCACGACTAATAAAAGAAATAGGCAGTATTATTGAAATAGATTGACAGACATAGAGTAATACAAGTAACTGCACTTAAACTGTCAAAATTAATTATGTCATAGATATTTTAGAAACACTAGATAATTATTTATTAATTATCTTTAATAAGAAGTTCAATCATAAATTTTCTTAAAAAAGAATTATTCAAATAATTCTATTCTACATATGTTAAAGAAATTATTTAATTAATTTGGTGAATAATATTTCATAATAGAATATTTTATATTATAATCAATATGATATTTTTTTAAATAATTCATATAAATATACTTACAAAGCATTTTAAAAGCTGATTTTTTCATTGATGGAATATTTAATTGTTGTGTAGCTGTAAAACTATTATTACGTCGTATAGATGGATCTTTTCTCATGAGAGAACGTGTTGATGAACGAGAAAAATTTTTAAATTTATATTCTAAACCATTATTATCATTTTCAATACTTCTTAAATGTCCTGATATTGAATATGATTCTCTTCCACTAATTTTTGACCAACGTACACCATGAAGTAAACCAGCTGAATATAAACGTCGTGCCATTAATGCATATAATATACAAAGAATAAATACGGGTAATACAAAAAAAATTGTTGCCGATATATAAAAACATATTTTAATTAATAAATGAAAATCTTGATCGAATGAACAAAAATTATGGACTTTTTTTGTTATATATAAATAAGGTGTCGAAGATAAGATTGCAATAAACCATATGAATATTTGTATTTTAATCGCACGTCGAGTTGTTGATAAAAATGATGTATGAAGTGGTCTACATACAGCTAAATAACGTTCAATTGTAAATGCACTTGATGAAAAATTAAAAAAAACACAAGATAAAAATAAACTATTATCATTCAATTTTTATTGTACATATTCAATTACCTAATGGTTAAAATTGATGCATTTGTAGAAGTTTCAGCAAGAAGACTTCGAAGTTTACAACCAAGTTGTCCCCATGGTACTGTAATTGGTAAAAACTATAATAAAAACAAAAACAAAAAAAAAAGAACAAAGAGAAATTAAAATAATTTTAATACAAAAGGACTTTACCGCTATTTCAAATGGTAAACTAACAATTAATGGTAAACTATCACTTATAGCTAAATTTAGTAAATAACAGTTCGTAACTGTATGCATATCTCGATTTAGTAAAATAATTAAGATAGTTAATAAATTATTAGCTATGCCAGCACAAAAAATTGGAATATAAATACATCCTTGTATGATATTAAGTTTATGAGAAAAATCTGTATCATCGTCAAATGAAAATGATAACGAATGATTGCTTTCATTGATAATACCCATTTTTAATTATTTATTATTATTGTATAAAAAATATGTTTGTAATTTGACCATTGAGGACGACGTTCTCATCTAATTAACAACAGTGTTTCATTACGCTCTTTAGTAACATTTTTCTTTTATATCCTAGAAAGAAAAACATGAGAGAAAATGAGAAGAAAAAAAAAAAGGAAAAAAAAAGAATGCCATAATCAATGCAAGGAAACTCTATCAATAGAAAAACAAGTACAAAACAAAAAACTATGCCATTCGACAATACACATTTCACGAAACATGTCATGTCACTTTTTGTTATTTGATCACCTGCAAAATCAGATAAATTCAAAAGAAAAAAACGAGAGCCAATTTCTTATTAACTATATTTGCGTCGAATGAATATATGTGTTATTTTTCATAAGTAATGATTTAAAACAGATTTCTTTCATTCTTTTTTCTTCTAAATACTTTTATGTCAAAAACCAGTTTTAATTAATATTTAAGAATAGAATGCGTAAATCAGATTTTATAGATTACTCTTTTGAGTTTAATCAATTGCAAACGATGTCTATAAACAGAAAATTACTTTATTAATTTTCTGTCAGCTATACTCTACCTGATAATATATAGATGTCGAGATCTTTCCCTGTCATATGTTTTTGGAAAAAAAGATATTTTCTATGAGGCTTTCTTCTAGACAAGAAATAATAGTTATAGACAGATAAATTGAATGTGTTTTATTGGCAGTATATCTGTGAAACAGTGCATGTTTATAATAGATAATATTCGATTGTTTTTTTACTTATTATGAGAAAACTACATGTTAAAACGTTAATAAAATTAATTTATCTTCTCAAGACTTCTTCAAGTCTGTAAAGACAAGGATATTTTGATTAATGAAAAATATTTTCTAGAAACTATCTTGAATAATTTAGACGACATATAACATTTCATGCATGATAATGAAGTTTGTGCTTTCTTATCATAATATGATAAATATTATTTTCACATCAATGAGATTATAAGAATCTTAATGTGACATATTAATTAGAAAAACAAACTAATATTGAAATATTTCTAAAAATTGTACTAAATCTCTAAAAAAAACTTATTGTTATCATTAATTCAAACATGAAGAAAAAAGACAATAAATCTCACTAAGAATAGTTTGGTTATTAGTACCATAATCTTTGGAGAATATTACTGTTTACATTATGATTGATTAAGAACAGATCAGTTTCATACAAATAATCAAATAGTTAAATAAAACTTTGAATAGAAGAAAAATAAAAAGTTTTTTCTTTGTAAACTATGATTAAGATTAAACTATTTCTTAGGTTTTATGAATTTAAACGGTCAAATTTTTTCTAAAATAGCAAACTCTATTCTATAACAATATGTTATATTAACAAGACAAATGGTTTCATTTTACTTGACTTGTAACTATAGAACAATATATAAAGAGAAGAATCTTTTTTTTCTATAAAAGTTAATATAGGGGGTTTTTTCTTATATATAATTATTAATCAAATATGTTAATCAAACAATTGTTTCCTTTTATTATATAGGTGTTAGCTATTTTAAAATCTAATAAACAAGTTTAAGAAAACACGTCACGTAGATATGTCAGATTAGGATTATTACTTACACAAGAATATAAAAATTAGAATTAGTATTGAAATTAATCCAAAATGCTTTAATATTATTTTTCATTAGAATTAATTCATATTATTTCGTGTTCTAATACATATACTATCAATCATCGAGCTATGGGTCTGTTCAACTAAGAAAAAACTTTCTATACTTAGAATAATTTTCTTCTATGTTCGAATAAAACTTGTCAATGCGAATAATAGATGATCATTAATATCAATTAATACAATAATAAGTCTAGCATGATATTTTCTGAACTTACAGGAGAACACTTATAACATATTGACTATCACATTTTTATAAGTCGATTTTGTTTATTTATCCGATTATATTTTGCTGATAATTATCTTTCATAAACAAATACTTATAAAGAAATATAATATGAGAAAAGAAGAAGAAAAAGAAAAAGAAAACTAATCAGTAATAAACAATCAATCAACATTATCGATGAAACAATCTATAAGCAATTAACAGAATGAAATTTGATAGAAACAACAGAACAAAAAAAAAAGTTTAGTAATGTCGAAACAATACACCAAGAAAGTAAAGATCATATCATATAAAAGAAAGAAAAGTACTTTCTATAAGTTATACAAGAATTATGCTAATAACTAACACAATGAGAAGAGAAAAAAAGAAATCTGTGAAAATAATCATTTAAGATACTTAAATAAAATGAGAAGTGTTTGTATCAATAAAAAAAAATTAAGAAAAAGAATTTTTTTTATTTCAAGAAAATATATTATTTTTTTCTCGTCCAACAAAATAAATTTAATTAGTACAGGTGCAATCTATTAAACATTTTATTGATTTAATTATCGAAAAATTTTGATATAATCAATAAAATTTTTGTTTTTTTGACACTTATCCGACTGAAAATATGTCATATTAATGTCATCTTTTGTACTTAAATATATTCAAGAGTCAATGATTCAAACATAGAGGAACAAAAAAACTGATAAAAACATATGTAATGATTTATTTATCGATCCGTAAATGTATATTAATTGTTCTGAATGATATCATTCAAAATTAAAACAATAGAATTAATCAAATAAAATTATTTTAATAATCATCATCTAGTAGATATTTCTTTTGGTAATAAATCAAAATCTTATATAGAAATTATTAGCTGATGAGAAACAAAAAAAAAACATCTATGAAGTATTTTATTGATAAGAAAACAAAAAAAGAATTTTTCTTGTTTCTTTTTCTTTTTTTTTTTGCTTAAGCAAATATGGCTGTTAATTGTTGTTCACCTCCAAGATAAACTACTTTTGGTTCATATGTACAATCATCAGAAGTTGTTATTGGTGTACTATCATTATCATCACTAGATGAAAGTTGAGTATTATTACGAAATGCTCGATATGTTACATTATCATAGTCACACTTTGTTGGTAAAATTAATTGTTGTTGATTTCTACGGATAGAATTAATTGGTGCAAGATATTGGTTTTTCTTTCGTTGACGACGTAATATGTACATGCTAATTCCAACAATGAGACTAATCATAAAAAGAATTAGACATGAAACAATTATTGAAATAGTAACAATATCAAGAGAATTTGAATAGTATGGTTTATAATTCATATTTTGACAAATTCCATGTATACATATTTCATTTAATGAACATTGAATAAATGAATTACATATTCCACCTGTATGACTTTCACAATAAGCTAATTAAAAATAAAATAAAATAAATAGAAAAAAATTTATTTCTTCTATTACCGTGATCATTATCTAATAATATTTTAGTTGATATATTTTTTGGACATGTACACATTGTTGATGAACGATTTTGATGACACCATTCTAAACATCTGATATTTTTCATAGTACATTGTTCCATAGTATGAACAGCATGTATACATATTGGATATTGATTTTGTATGAAATAAGATTGTAAAGGTTGTCGACATATACAACGATGATTAATTTGATCACATTGATAATTTTCATATGGATAACATGAATTATCATTTGAACAATAATCATTTAATGTTGATTCAATATATAAATCAAGTTTAAATAATTGTTCATGATCTGTACGATAAATTGTTTTTGTTGAACAATCAATTGTTGTTAAATTTTTTAAATATGTTTTACCAGATGGTAAATACATAATATTTTTATCAATAAATGTTGTACGTACAAATTCACCACGTAATGTTGATGATGATTCAAGTGATGTCCAATTGAATAATAAATTTTTATCTGAACATTGTATCATATTTAAATTAAAACGTATTAATGGTTTTGAAGATTTATTATGAGTTATAATAGTTATCAATAAATTATTGTCATCATTTGTATTTGATGGATATGGTAATATCATTGATAATACTCGATTATCGTTCGTTGTTATATTATTAGACAAATGAAAAGAGTAATTATAATAATGAAGATAATTAAATGAACAATTGGAAAGAAGAATTAGCTTATTAGGAGTACAAGTTTTATTTTCTCCGAATTTGACAACAACGACGATAATTATCATTAGATAAGAAAGAAATATACGATTAGACAACATGCGATGTTCGTGCTTGTCGACAAGCCCATCTAATCTGATGGAAAAAACGTCACGTTAATGTTACTAAAATGAACGAAATAAACCAGTCAGTACATTGAGTTCATAATTAGAAAGAATGAGAACGCCTGTTTGTCTAATATAACCAGTCAAACAGAAACATTTGATGATGAGATCAAGCTAGAATAATAATAGTAGCTATGATCGATTCTTACTCAACGTGTGCGTTCATATACACATCAGGCAGCAATGATCGCTGTTATGTGCTTCATTAGAGAACTGTAAGAACGCATTAAACAAAGACGTGACAATTAGATTGTCTTAGATTCTTACGATGTTTAAAGACGAGCTATTTAACATTCATACTTACTATTCATTCACAAGAAGAACAAAAGAAAAGAATAGATCAATTGAGAAATAAAATACAAAAGACGATAATGGCTCTTATATAAAAATGATAGGGTCTATATATAAGTCGTCCTTGTCCAATGGCAGAAATACGGACTACCTACTGTGAAATACAGATGGAACATTTCACTATAGTACTTATTCTTCTTTTTTTTTCCATCGTATGACTGCTTACTTGTCTGTCATTCATCTAGTAGAAAGCTTGCAAAAGAAATGATCATGCACATTAGTTACATCATATTCTTGTGAGAAGCAAATGAACTATCATGCTCTTTTCCTCATGAGTACAACGCAAAATGCCGTAAAATTTCTCTTCTGATCATTTATTATATATAAACTTAATATATTTATCTTATTTTACCTTCGGTTTTTTTCTGTGTTGTTTCTTAATTCAATCTTAATAACGTTTTATTTCATAATAATCGTCATCTAT